AGCTGATTCCTGCTGGTGTAGAAGGATCATACGAAGAATGGATTGCAGAGGAGGTGGAAAGCATTGTTGAAATATATAAAAAAGATCTAGCACATTATGAATTGAAAGAAACTCCAGAAAAGGGAAAGTCGAGACAGTTTTATCTTGATAAAATTAAATCATTATTTGATGACTGTAAGAAGGGTGAAGGTAAGAAAATATTTTTACAACAAAGTCATACTAAAACTTTGCTCTATAGCTTTCATATATTACACTGGTCATGGAGAGAAGGACACTGGTAACTGGTGCTTTAAAGATGGAGTAATATCATTCAATGACATCTTTGAATTATACATGATGCATTTCAGGGGTAAGTCTCTAATGATAGGATCTGATTGCAGCTATTCTGGAAAATGGATACACGACTGTGGCAAAAAACTAGACAAATATGGAATTCTGTCTTGTGGACACAAAACCAGAAAACAAAAGATACTATTCAAAATTTTCACATCATGTCAACCTCATGAAGAAGCTACACTACTCACATACAGCAGAAAAGGAATAAGATACAGCAAAGAAGATGAAGGTGTCCTCATAAAATATGATGAAGAAATAAAAATGGAACCAGCTCAAAAAGGACAACACCCAATGCACGTTGACTTCAGACACATCCACTGCTACAAGATGCCTGGAGACCAGTGTGAATTGGACTCTACCTGCACTTGGGAGGATCGTCTTGGAAAAAAAAGAGAACGAATTGTATTCCTGGTTGACAACCTTCCCAGTTGGTATTGTTTGCTCATTTCTGAAGACACCTTTGATGAATTCAAAGGTAAGCAGGATAAAGGAAACATTGGAATTGAGAAAGTCTTATACTCTGGACCAGGAAAAAATGCTCCCAGTGACGTAAAGAAAAAACTCAACCTGAGATTTGATATGAACACTTATGCTTCATATAAATACACTGATCACTGATTTTTATGATAACTTGAATATTTTTATTTTTAGTAGATTCATTAGTTTCACGCCAATTACAAATTTTATTTTTAATGATCATTGATTAGTAATAAATTTTTCACAGTACAGCTATAGTACAAGGACTTATTTCAATCCCAACCAGCCAAGCCATCCACCACCAGTAGTTTGAGGTTTATTAGTTTCACTTCCATCAAGAGGAGCTGGTGATACAGGAGGTGTATCAGCAGGTATGGCTACTTCAAGAGGTGCAGGGGAAGATGAGGAAGACTTCTTAAAAGAGAAGACGTTGAAAGTTGATCCAAATCTTTTGCCCTTTGAAGAATAAGTGGACATTCTCTTTTCCTCTTCTTCTCTTAGCCGAGCTTGATTAGCTAAATAAGAAACATTAGACAGATATTAATAATATTTTAATAATACCTTTAAATGTCTCAAGTAAATTTCCTCCCTGCTCTT